ATAGTAAAAGTGTCTCAGGCAAACGGTATTTTGCGGTGAATTTTGAGCAGTGTGGAAATGCATCATGAAGTAAATTCAACGAAAACATTATCACGCAACGATATCTTCACGTCTTTTGATCTTCACTATACGAAAGAACATACATTTTTTTAGTATGTGTGGGGAATTTCTAGTTAATCCAATAGTAAATATGGCAGTTAGAGGCCTGCTAAGAGTAACATGTCGCCGGCTGAGGCGGGCTCGGCCGATGCGGGAAACGCAGCAATCACAATTTTGTGTTTACACGTTCATATTTCAATTGTTTACCAACCGATTTTCAAAATTCTTTCACCATAAGATTGCCTGTACATTTCTTAGTCTTCTCACAAAATTTGACGCGAATCGAACGTAATCAGCGGTAGGGAGCGCGATGTAAAGACGGAACCGTTCCGTTCCGTCCCGGCACAGTCTACAATTCAGGCGGCGCGTAGCGGTCGGCGCCGGCTGCCGAGTCGCCGCGTCGCTGCGGCGACAGGATGTTCACTTTACACCGCTATTACTAGAACAGTTGTGAACCGATTTTCTTATTGCTTGCACGATGAGATGTCCAATTCAATTTTTGACAGGTAGCCATAATTAATTTCGCATTATTCTTATGAGATATTGGCGAAAAACAGGAGGGGTGGGCGAAATTGCTCTTCCCCCTCCACTGCGCGTGCTAACATACGTTTGCATATGTGCAATTTTCTTCAAAACTTATGAATGGCCCACTCTAATTTTTTCACAGGTTGTTAAGAATATGGTAGGCAATAAAATATATGAAAATGAGCCAAATCGAAGGTGACGTGTTTTTTGCTATTTCAATATTTGTGCTTAAGAACAGAGTTAAGCAAATTTCAAGGTCATATATTTAAGTAGGTGCAATTCTAAACAAATGCTTAAGAAATAACCTAAACAGTAAGGTTTATTTCATTCAAATCAAACAAGTACAACCAAAGTTATGGTCGTTCAAAAATATAAAGATGCAACATTTTGTAAAAATTTGATGCCCTATATTTAGAAGACCTGTGGTCAGAATGTGCAAAAAACATCAATGTTATGTCCGGGGCCACACAGGAACTCGCTCACAAATTTATGATGAAATCGCTGATGGTAAGGTGCAAAACAGCCGATTTTTGTTCGATTTGACGTGGAATGCCCCAATAGTGGTGGAAACTCAGCGCGGATCCCACGGCCTGTCCCGACGGCGGGTCCGGAGCGTCTGGGATCCCTGAGGGTGGGTCCAGAGCGTCTGGGATCCCGGGGCGGGTCCAAAGCGGCTGGGATCCTAGAGTGGGTCCAGAGCGTCTGGATCCCTCGGGGCGGGTCCAGAGCGTCTGGGAACTTAGAGTGGGTCCGGACCATTCTGGGACCCAAGGGCGGGACCCGGAGCGTCTGAATGCTCTGAGCAGTTCGCCGCTGCCTTCATTGCTTGAGGCTTCCTCAGATGTCTCAGAACCCTGCTGGAGCTGCCTCATACCCTCGGGATGGACCGTGCTGTCTAAAATATAGAGGAAATCGGGACCGTCTGAGACCTCGGGGTAGTCGGGAGAGCTTCAGGCCCTCTGACGACCCGTATAATGCCTCAGCTCCTGAGGAAGTCGATACTGTCTTGAGATAATGGAGTGGTCCACCGCTGTCTCAGAACCGGAGACTGTCTGAGCCTTTGAAGACTGAAACAGTTTATCATTCTCTAGAACTCGGAGGCTTCCTCAGGCTCTGAGGGTTTCTTGAACACTAGCTGCCTCAAACAGGTATCACATCAAACCCCGAGGCTTCTTCAAAACCTTGGGGCACTTTGAGCTGCTGAGACCTAACACGATCCGCTTTGTATTACACCTTCAGACAAATCCAATAATGGTCAGCTTCCGTCTTCCAGAAAATCACCTCCATCTGTCTTTTCGACACGCTGGTATGAGGTGAACCAACGGACCAGGCCAACCGATGGACTGTTTTGTCTTCGTTAGTCTGAACGTTTGCCCGCGATTTGTGTGTGCGACCGTGTTGGTAAGACGGCGCTAGTGTGTATTCAGCGCTCATTGGTCACAGTTGGTGACGGGTGGTGGGTTTACTAATGGTTCCCGTGTGGACGGGTGGGGCGTCCACTAATGGTTCCCATGTGGACGGGCTGTGGACGCGGTGGAAACAGAAGTAGCAGCGGCGGCAACTGAATCACCAGTAGCAGGCGGCAGCAGCAGCTCAGCTGAGATCGGCTGCAGCTTTTCTGTCAGTGACCTCTACGAAAGCTAATGATGAGGTCGAGGCATATCGATACCATCCGCTGCTTCGGATATTGATGCTATTGATTTTGACTGGTGTTATTCATGAAACATAGGAATCCATAATCATGTTTCCTCGCTTTACGCATGCTGAACCTTTACGCGAATCGCACGCATATCCTGCAACACTTGACTGTATAGTGTATAATTCACATCTAATTAGTGGACACTAGGGTGACCCGCGTGCTCCGCAACGCGAAAAGGGATATTTTCGATCGGCGGGTGTTCGGTTGTTCTTGTGTCGGTTGGGTTATCTATCCATTTCGGTCGATTGCTTTTTGACGGCTAAGCGTTTTGGTTTGTGGAAAAAATATCCACCGCATCGAGGTGCCCGTGTCTGATAAGCATGCTTTCCACTTCAGAATCTGTCAAATGTGCTTTATAATTGAGGTGCGTAGTTTCAAGACAAATGAAAGGCGTAGATAATTTTCGCTAAAAATCGTTTTGCAGAGGTTTAAAACATTTATATTTTTAAGAATACTGTTGCTTGTCATGCAAACGTGATGATTGGATCTTGGAGAGAATTGAATGCTCTTTCTAATGATAGCATTTTCAATTGTCAAGCGTATCAGGTTAAGCAGCAAATCCCGTGTAACTTTTTAGTGGCACATTATGGACAAATACCATTTAATTCAGCGATTTTTTCCACATTGTTTTTGATCAATTAGCTGTTCACAATTTTTCCATGAGAGGCGGTACATTTCTCTTGCCAATTGACGTTGTTTCAACTCTCTCAGTCTGATGGTCACGGGAAAATAAAATAAAATTCAAAATCCTTTTAAAATGGCACTTTTTGAAATGAAATTGCCCTCACACTTGCACGTGGCGCGTGCCACCCCTGCACCGCACACTATTCGATTGCCCGTTCGATTCTCTACACGATGCTGTTTTCCCCGTGCCGATCGGGCGCACGGCTACCGAGATATTGCACGGGGAACGGACCCGTGTCGGGCAAATTTAGCCATTTTCGCCCGTTTTTGCCAGCCGATTTATACATGTAAAGTCTATGACGCGAATTTGCACTTTTTGGGCACGCGCCACGCGCTCGCTATCGATCCGATCTAGCCGAGACCGCTCAAAGGCACGTTGTCCATCCTTGTTCTATAACTTGCGCAAATTTCAGCGCGGTAGGTGCAACGGTGTGATCTGTAACCCGCGCTACGTAGCACCATGTCGCGACCTCGGTTACAGAAACTACGTCACCTCAAATAGTAATATAGATTTATTCTTGAGCGTCTTACTGGAATTTGGATAAACCAGCCAGAAATACAAATCTCTGCTTGCGTCGACTGATAGCCGATAAAACATATAAGGAAACCACAGATCATCATCCCGCAAGTGATAACCATTAGCCTGAACGGTGATCAGTGGTCCCTAACATCAGCTCGGTATGGTCCAGTTCGAATCGGAGTCCCCACCAGCTCCAGCCGCGGATCAAACGCCACGTGCGCGCCACAAATGGTCATCCTGGGAACTGCGGCCAAAGTGGTCACCACAGCGCGCCGAAATCGCCTCCAAATAAGTGTGAAGCCACTGCTACAGTTTCCATGGGAAGCTGTGGACGCTACTGGGTGAATAAACTCGACAACTGTGACAGCGGAAATGTCTGAGCTGTGAGATTTGTCTATGAGTGGGTGCTGTGGCTATTATTTTCCAGAATTACTAAGTAGGTTTAGATCAATCACTGAACAATCCATTTATGCACAGAGCTGCTGTTGACTGAACACTGAACTGTGAACCAGGAGTCTTTTTATGACTATGAAATGATGACCACTGATCTGATGGCATAATTTTACGTATATTAATTGTTACTGGTTAATTGTTAATTGTTACTGGTGCAAGATAATGGTCTTCTTGTCGCCTCCCCCCGCCCCCACCCCACCCCTCCCTCGACAAGCACGCCGGTGCCGTACAAGTGGAAAGTCATAGCTTACCAGTTAGCAGCCGTCTCCTCCCGTCCACGGTCCACCCCGCGGCCCCACGCCTTCCCACTACCGTGGGACTCAGCCACCAATCGGGGCGTCGCCCACCGCGCCAGCTGACTCGGCGACGTTTTCGGCGCACCTGTCCCAGATCACTTTCCGTGTGCCGATTTCGACTCGTCTGCTCCGATTTTGGCACCTAGCGGCCCGCCCGCCGGCGCCGGGTTGGCTCGAATGTGTGGCGGCGGACCATGTGTGAGGGTAGTTGCGGTTAGGTGTAGTTTCTTCGGTGGTGGATGGAATGATTTAGAGGCCTGGATTCATGTCACGTCAATTGTCGCTAAACACAGTCTACAAGCGTGGCTTGGCTTATGGTTATGCGTCAATTTCAGTTATTTTCATGAAGGAAAAATGGATCTTTTGTGGGATACCGCTGCTTGCTACTGATATTGTTTTTGTTTGTTTCAACTGATTCCAAGCTCAGTTAATGCAACAGATACTGCTTGAGGCTGTCGGTGTGCCCTCAGCCCGTAGGCTTTGTCCACGTGAGCCAATGGATTACCATGGGAAGTGGAGGAATATTGAGAGAACCACTAAAACCCGCTGACATCGCTCGGTTCCCTGGCCAATAGCTCTGCAAGAGTTGGACGCAACTGCATGTGGCCTTCTCATTGCTGGATAGAGAAGAAAATGACTGCCTATAAAATGAACGCTTATTTATGACGTTATCTGTTGGATGTGTGATTTGTGATGGGCTGACAGTATGTCTGTCTTGTTTCAGAATATCTTGGACAAGTTTAACCCGAGTGCCAGGCAGCTAATCGCTGCGGGAAAGGCGTATCTCAAAGCTCTGCATGGTGAGTACCTACCCAAAGTGGTTGAAATCCTCGACGGAGTCAATGCTGCACTATTTATCAGCTGATTTATTAGTTAGGCCCACGCATGCGTTAGTGGATGCCTACCTGTCATTCATCATTTGCGCTAGATATCTTATCAATGAATCTGCCAAACTGAAGTCGCATTGTTCTCAGCAGCGACCGGAAATATTCGCATTGTGCAATATGTGCATGCATGAGACAGAGCACTTGCTGTCGCTGGTTTGCCAATCTTTTAATGCTCCTTCATTTTGATCAATATGATGCCTCCCCTTTGTTTTATGGCCATTTTCTGGGTGGCAGTAACCATAGTGCGCCGTGTGTCTGGCAATACGTGCGCATATCGCGCCTAGGAATAGGGGAAACCGCCATTATGGGCCGACGTTTGATGGATGTGGGCGGGGTACGTGAGATCCGAGCGATCTGCTAAATCTCCCGCGCAATCTGCGAGAAAGAGAGAGAGAGAGAGAGAGAGAGAGAGAGATAGAGAGAGAGAGAGAGAGAGAGAGAGAGAGAGAGAGAGAGAGAGAGAGAGAGAGAGAGAGAGAGAGAGAGAGAGAGAAAGAGAGAAAGAGAGAGACCCCTATATGTGGATGTTGGCGCCTCCAGTACACTTCAAAAAAGGCTGGGGAACCTGCGACAGATATTAGAGTGTATCCTGACAGCAGAAGGGCTGCGCATTTGTTGAGTTAAGATCTAAAAGATTTATTTTCACCAATCACGCAATTCACAAGTTTCCGTATAGGGTTTCGCTTTCATTTTGTGATTCGTCTGGTCATTGGAATTAATCGAGAGCTGGGTGTAGCGAAAACTTCTGCTGAGTGACCAGACCGATTCAAATGCAAGTCACCTGCAATTCCTATGCAAGTCAGCAGGTCATATTGTGTGGTCAGATGACCGGGCTGATAGATGAGCACCTGTCGCCAGTAGTGATACGCTTCACTTCTGCTACTGGTGTACGTCTGTGTGTGTTTGTGCGGCGACCTGGATCGAAATGGCCAAGTTTCACGTTTATTAGGTGCTTAGAATGCTCAGCTGTGGCTTTTAGCTTCGTGCGAATGGTTCAATTATTGCATCTTACTTCTTCCTTTCGCGCTAGTTATTTTTATGCTGATTTTCTTTGCCAGATAGTAGGATTATTACCTTTTCTATCTAGCTTTAGGGCTATACCCACGAAAGACAAACAGTGAATTTAGTTTCCCTTTTATCTTCTTGACTTTTTGCTGCGCTTTTCCCTCGTCGAATGCTTAAAAGCCTTAATGAGGCACTGAATGCCTGCAAAAGATATATGAATAGCTCATCGCTTCAGCTGCCCCAACTGTTAGCAGACAGATCTCTCGCTTTCTCTTTCGTTTCCCTCTTTAGCCTGCTGCCAGTCAGCCAATCAAACAGTCGGAATGGCTGTGACGTCAGCGCGGGTCGACACACATTTCACGCACGATTGGCCCGAGTTTGACTGAAATTTGACGGATCGCTGGCCGGTGTCATTTAACCACGGGGCTTCCGCTCAGCGTTACAAATTAATTACCTAGTTGGCGTTTGACTTCACGGCGTTTGTTGGCCCACAAAAGACGTTGATTGGCTAGCCAGCTGACCTTGGTTGGGCTTTGATCGGTGAGTGATCGGCTGATCGCGCGGTAAAAGATAATATGAACGGCTGCAGGCTCCATGATTAAGCCAGACTTAACCCTCGCCCGTAAACGGCGATCTGCCACCTTCGCCCATGCAGGGGGGGTGGGTTAGTGCGACCCCCCCTTGGCGTTTGAAAACGGAGCGTCGTAGAGCTTAGCGAAAATCACCAACGGATTGCTCTCGCCGAGATCTCGCGATTGGTGGTATATTTTTTGGTCCTAGGTCAACATTTGACCTACTTTTGACCGGTCAAAGGTCAAATTTTCGGAAAAATAGACTTTTTTCAACTTTCCGCGGCGATTGCGGCAAAACGGTGGGAGATATCGACTTGAAATCACTATCGTGTTCCTTGATTAATTCTCTATCGTTTGGTATGTATTTCGTTTCCCTAGCTCTAAAAATGGCGCGTTGGGAGCGCCGGAAGTCGGCAAGGTCACAGTCGGCGGCAGAAATTCGAAAAATAAAAATTTAAATTTTTGAAATCTGATTGTATTTTTGGATTTGGGAGGTCCATTTTCTCCCTATAGAAGCTAATATTGCTGCATATTCCCATTGAGGTGACAAGAATTAGCAAAATAGTGGTTTGGGCGCTTTTCAAAAATAGTACCGGACGCTGTTCCTCTTGTGACGTCATAGCTCCGTGACCTGACCTGACCCGGTCAAGTTTCTTATACCATATGATAGCCAATACTTGCCCCAACATGCATGGGAAGTTTCATCACGATCCATCAACCGATGTCCGTACCACCGGCAGGAAACCTCGGGCGTTGGCACTCAGTTTGTGAAAATCCGCCCGGAGGCTGTTCCCTTTGTGACGTCATAACTCCGTGACCTGACATGACCCGGTCAAATTTTTTTGTCAAAAGATGCGCAAGGTTTGCCCCATAAGGTACCCAAAATTTGGCGGCGCTGCGCGCCGCCGTTTTTGCACTATTTCCGAAAAACCTCAGAGGGGGGGGGGTTGCACCAACCCCCCCCCCTACATGGGCGAGGGTTAAGCCGCCAGGTTTTTTTGGAAGCTGTAGAAATCTGCAGACGTTTTCCCAATCTGCGAATCGTCCAGGGCATTTTTCTGTCCTATTATTATTCGGGATGCTGCTTTGATTCAACCACATCAATTTCAGTTTATGCCGTAAATTAGCTTTACTCGCGCTAATGGGCGACCTTTCTTTCCGCTACTGAACCTCGCCTCTTTTAGACCGGACCGCACTGGACCAGTTGGTCCCCGTGGAACGTGACCTCTGCTGCCTTCAAGCTCTACAGTGCCCTAACGTGCTGCTATGTTGCAACATTCATCCAACAATAGAAGCACTATCGTCCCATCACAGCGTCGTTCTTCTTCGGGTGTCGTGCCCCAGGGGCATCTCTGTGGCATCTTGACATTCTACTGACCTTGACTTTTGTGTCGAGTAGCTTGTTTGAGCTCAGGGAGAAGAGAGTAGATCGCTTGGCGACCTAGATGCTGCCCATCCCAGGCTTTACTGCCTTGCCGAGACTGCTCTGCTGATTGACGAGTGCTTCTCTTGGCGCATTTTTGGCGTTAGCGCGTGGTATTCAGAAGCGATAATTGTTCACTTATGGGCATGTCTGACACTGCGAAGAAATGTCAGGCCATCTCTAAAACACATGTCATCTAAAATATTCAATGCGACCAATTGTGGCCATTTACTGACACTTACAACAGTTCCTTCGAAACGAAGCAACGAAGTCTCAACTCTCATATGATTTACGAAAACTAAGCATTGCTGACGGACTCATTTTACTTTGCGTGCTCAACTATGCTCTATTATAGGGCCTTCCTGTGTTCGGTCGTCCTCGCTGCCTTGCGTGCCCTCTCACATAACTCCATCCGCCGCCCTTGGCTGTGCGTACGCGGATGTGCAGCTAATGACCCAATGGGAATGGGCGTCTGGGCGTGCCCATTTGGTGTCAAAGGGCGTCCCCGCCCTCTTTGTCACAGTTCGCTCACTTCCGTGATGGGAGGACTGTGCCCTTGTTCGCTTTGACTGAGGCTAGCTGCTTGCGGGCATAATTGCTGTCATCTTGCAACTTCTGTATAGGAATAGGACTGCGACACTATTGCGACTAAGGACCTCGGAGGGTGTCTAATTTGATGGCGATACCTCTCCACTTCTGCGGCCGCTGAGCTGTCTATGAGCCCATGACCAATTTTTCCAAAAAAATTTGAACTTCGCTGCTAGAGTCATTTTCGGTCGCCGTAAATTTGCCCATGTCTCTGACTGCGAAAAAAGCTCGGGTGGTTGTCCCCGCGTCATATGGCTGATTACCAAACCCTTGTTATCGCCCACAAAGCCATTCAGCGCGGCGAACCCGAGGAATTGGCAACCATGTTCGTCACAAACAGCGCTGTCCGGGAGAGACACTCCAGGCAAGACCACCTCTTTCACCTTCCGCGACCACGGCTGGAAACGGGTAGGCGGCGGTTCGGCTATCGAGCCGCTGCTCTACTCAACAGTCTCCCAACTCAGCTGTCGCAGCTGTCTCCCGCCCCCTTTGCCCGATCTGTTAAAGCCGCGATAGTGGACGGGGCATCAACTGATCGTCGCTGACCAACAGAGAGTTGTATATACCTGTGGTACTACGAAAGTGTCTCTGTCCGTGCTTTGACGTGAGTGAATGTGTGAATGCTGTGAATGTTTAGATTAGTAACCGCGGATACGGATTCTGAGCAGTAATCGCCACGCACTTTCAGAATGTGGATCGCTCATGATTGTTCAATACAATACAATACAATACAATGACTCGCCCCTTCTTTGCCATGCATACTGATTGAATCACCCGTCCGCTTTTCCTATCGAGGAGCGTTTCTCTGGCCCGTTTTCAGTGACGCGACTGGGCTTGGCGAGTCTGGTGGAAGCTATGCAAAGGCTGGTAGTGCAGTACTTGAAGGCAGAGACATGATTCTTGAGCTTTGATGTTTGGCTCGACAATGGCATTTCATCACGTTTCATGTAAGAGGCCTTGATGTAAGATGTCACTTTAAATGTGGACTTTACTGTCATAGGGTTCCATTTCCTTTGTGGATTAAGCAAATAAAAAATATGTAGTAAGAAAGCTTTTAATTAAAAATTTCAGTCACTTGTACCTAATTTAAAAGTTGTCACGATCCAGCCACTATATCCATGTCAGTCGTTGTTCTACCCAGCCAGTTCTGTGATATTTAGTGGAAGAGGATAACCTTTTTATGAAATATTATATCACGTCTTACGTTTAAAATTCTTGAGCCAGGTTTCCACAGACACTTTCAATTACACCTCATCAGGAACCCAAACGCCTGTCGAATAGAAACGGCCCGTTTAGTGGCTCTCGTGTGTGGGGTCCTCTGGGAT